CAAATGGTGCTGTTGGTTAGTATCACCCAGATCAGTCACCAGGTTTCCATTCACCCTCCGCACAAAAATTATTTTGCGGTCTGTCAGCTATTTCCCAGAGCTTTAGAATGCCCTTTAAACATATTGCGTGGCTGGCACCACTTTGCCCAAAGCAAACATGCATCTCAGGCTTGTGGACTCTATTTCTTTCAGGGTTTTCTAGCTGCCATCACCTATTGATATTATTTGATTTGTAGCCGCTATTCAACACAAACAAACAAAATCTCACAGCTTCTGAAACCTTCCTCCACGGAAGCCACTGATATTTACCGGGAGCAAGAGTGACAGGCAGAGCTCTATCACACCCACACTCACCTGCCTTTAGAAATAAAAGCAAATGTTTAGTGAATTATTGCCGTTCAAGTTTTCAGCCTGCTGCTCCAATTTTCCTGGCATCCCTCCTGACGTGTCTGATTCTTCCTCCTATGGCCATAAGCATCAGATGGACCCTTAGCAAATTCCTGGTGGTCCCCCCAGCAGCATCTTTTCCACCAATGCCACTGCCCAAGAAGTGCACGGGTGGCTCGGCTGCTCGTAGACCATCCAGCTACCAACCTGCTTAAAATAAGCTTCAGCCAGTGGATGTTTAAGGTATTAAATGTGTGGGCCTGTGCTGGGGGCATCCCAGAGTAATGTCCTAAAAAAATCCCTTCCAGACTCTTGTTTGGCAGGTCCCTGGTGTAGCCCTGAGGAGCCTCTGTCCCACCCAGTACAATATGGAGCAACTCATCAAGGGAGGGCTTCTGGGCTGCTGCCCCCAGGACCTACTGATACGCACATCTTCCTCCCGCCGTCGTCACATGGATGTTTCCTTTAGCTGAGAGCCAAACCCCAGGTCCACAACATGAAACACCAGTTCAGATATCCACTTTCCGATCCTTTTCCATCAGATATTTCTGGATGCTTCTGTCTTCTGCAGGAGGCTCTCCTCTTCCCAGTGAGCCCACAGGCTGCCCCTCATTTCTTTTGCACATAGCAACCTCCCACACATTAACATTGGGTGAATCTCGATCTCCAGACATTAATGGCAACTTTCCTTATGGCTTCAACAGAGACAGATTTTCTCCAGAGGACTTGTTTTATCATGCCACCAGAGTTATTCAAATGTCATTTTCACTGAACAGTTGCAACAGGCGTTGTAATTTGTTTGCTTTCTGTGTCAAAAAAGGAGCTACTCAGTGTCTCTTTGCAGCAAGCTGCTGCCACAAAATTGTTGGGTTTCAAAAAAAAATGCTTTAAGTCTAGTGAAGTGAGCAAATCCTTATGTCTTAGCAACAACTTCTTGCCTATATCAAGGGTGATGGTGGCTCAAGAAGCAGCTCTTTTCAGGAGGCTAAAGCATGAGCTACTGCGCAACATTTAACTCCCACAACGCTCTAGACCGAGAGAAAAAAAATCTCACTCCATGATTAAGTTTCTTCCTGAAGGCAATCTGAATGGTCACAACAACAACGAGCACTCAGCTCCCTGAAAAATCAGCATTTTTTCATAAGCCCTTTTAATGCAATTATAAGAATAAAGCTGGGCGATTAAATTAAATGTAGAGGTTTCTCATATGGAAAGAAAAAATATTTCCTTTTAAAGGCAATCTAGCCTGCACACCAGAGAGTGACAGTGACTCTGTACAAGACATGGACGTGGACTGTTATTGTTTCCCACAGTAGGGGGGACAATTGTGATATTGAGCACTTCATCACTCTACACAAACTTGACATCTGCATCTGACTTTGTCATGAATTAAAAATGAAGAGGAAAGATTCCTCCGATCAGAGTGCAGCTGCAGTTACCAGAAGGTACAGGCGGGCATCCCTCAGGTGGACAACAAACAGGGCTCAACTGTATCTTCATCGGTTTTTTTAAATAACATTTTTATAATATGGTCTGGTTACAGTGATGCCTTTGTTTATTTATTTCTGCAGGAAAGGCAGTAAGTAATTAACTTGAACCATGGCCTGCAATTTAGATGTTGAAGTTTACAATGATTCTGTCATAAGGCCATAATAAGCACCATTTTACAAAGGAAACCCAATAATTGAGGGGTTGTTCTGCTCATGGCTAGCTGTAAAACCTGGGTGAGCTTTTGCTCACGCTCCCTCCTGCTCCATCCTGGCTCACTGCCATGAACTCCAGTGTGGTTCGGTCTGATGGGCATCAGGGTGAGAGCAAAACCCGTTGAGTCTGGCTCCAGGGGAGCCGACAGCAGATCAGTCTGCCTTGCCCTCTCCTCGATGACAGCCTGCAAGCATAACTAAACTCAGTCACAGGTGTATAAACATCCTCTGACATTTAATACAGAATAAAATACACCTTTAGAGGTGGTGCCTGCTTGAGAAAAGGCTTCACATATGTGCTCTTCAGGGAGCGAACATGTGGCTTTTTGCCCCAAACACTGTTAAATTTAATGAGTGAACATCCCTCTCCTTGCTGACCTTGCACGCCTCCTCCATGTGCTCCTCCAAACCCCTTCCTGCCTTCACAAGTCCCATCCGCAGTATTCAGCTCCTCTAACGTTAATGTGTGAAACAGCATTTTCCAAACTACTTCAAACAAAACTATGCAAAGGATGAAAAATAATTAGCTGTGTCTCAGTGTCTAATATATTTGCATTGTTTAGACAGGGTAGTTAATCATTGGTAAGACCACAGCATGTTGTGTGAATTTGGATTATAACTCATACATACTGAGCAGAAGGTTATTAATTACATTTAAAGGGAGTATTTGATATTATTATTATTGAGAAACTGAATGCTATTCATTATATTACAATGCTCTGGCAGGATTCCTGTGGCAATACTGTGCAAAGAGCCATTTACTTTTAGACTCTTTTGTCTTTTGTTCAGAAAGGAAGTACTTAAGGCAGGCAAAAGGCACCACGAGCCAAAGTCTTGTTCCCATTAACGCTCCCGAAGCACTGAGTGATATTGAAGGGGTCAGTGAGGGCTGACATTTTTTAGAGGATTTTAAATATAGAGTATGCTTTTCATTTGCTTAAAACAGTTGGTCTCTTGAAATGTCACTTATTCCCTTGGGTTGGGACTTGGCAAAGGACAGTCTCCATGTGGTCTCCACTGCCGGGCCCAAGTCCCCAGAAAGGACATCTGAGGGATGGAATCGGATCCCAGATTTAATTAGAGTTGCAACATTTCCAAGTGTTTCCTCTGTAAAATGGCTCTTACCTGTAGAAAAGAAAAGCTTAGGGCACTCCTTTTTGTATTTAAAAAGGCAATTTTATTAATTCAGCTGAATTTTGCATTGGAATTCCACTATTGCTTCGACAGTTTAGCTCCCTGAAAATTGCAATAAAGGCTCTGTTACGCTACATTTTGTCCCCATTTGTCTTGTATACCATTGCCTTGCCTTTGGCACAATAAAAATAATCTTTAAAAATAGTACCATAAATGGATTGACTTTGACCTTCTGAGTATCTTGTCAATAAAATAAAAATGATAAATCGGTTTCAGAGTGCCGCTGGCGTAATACTAAAGCAGAGTTATAATCTGAAAAGTGACATTTGAAAAATGATATTATGGGGAGGGGTCTTATTCTCAGTCAGCGGTGCCACATAAACACGCTCTATTTACAGTGCAAAGAGGCCATCTCACCAACTGCCAGGCTCGCTCCCGAAATCAGGTCCTGCAATTCCTGCGATGTGCTCTCTGCCTCTTACATCATCATCATTAGCAATTAAAGATTACTGCAGCAGGAAATTAGCTGAGCCCTCTGTTGCCGATGCAAAAAGCAGAGCAACCCCACCTCGGTCTCCTCCCGTGACCTGCTCTGCAGTGCTAACACAGCGAAAATGGACTTTGCCTCTTAGAGAAATGGCTAAGTTAACCAAGAAAAGGCCCTTTTTTAAACAGGATCAGCTTTTTAAAAATAAAACACTTCTAAAAAAAAATCACTGCAAGGCTTCTTTTTAATAGGTGATAAGAAACAACTGAATATTCTGTAAAAAGATCAAGAGATGTATGAAAATAAACAGGGCAGGTGTGTAAACAAATGTGTAGAGGGGCAGCAGTTTTGATTTAAACTTTGCAATGCAAGCACAGAAGCTTTGATGCATTTGGCTTTATGGGTACATGCCTCAGGCAAGTCAGACCTGTGGCTTGAATATTTGCAACCCTCTTTCGACCTTATTCCTAAAAAAACATGGTACTGTTGTTTTTTCACAATTGCTTTTTCTCTTATTAGCATTTCTTGTTTTCATTATTCTAAATATGTATTTAAAATATGTGAAGTGCACTTTATACTCGAGCACCAATTTATATTGTGATTAAAATGCTCATGCATTAGTAAACTCAATTAAAACCCCACATATTTTCAAAGGTCACAAGGCTTTGGAACCTCAAAACATCACTTGAGGAGTGATTCAGATATTAAATCCTAAAACTAGGCTGAGATCACATTAAAGGGTTAAGTTTAAGGTGCTGATTCAGATATGAGGAAAATCTAAATAACTAAAATCTTTATGTTACCTGCCTTCCAGTTTTATATATTTAACTCCAAATTTGATCTTTTCCCAGTGTTTGCCTTGAAAATTAGCCCAATCCTAAACTGAATCTGAACATAAGCTGGAGAGGGACTTTTTACAAGGGCGTGTAGTGATAGGACAAGAGGCGATGGATTTAAACTGAAAGAGAGCAGATTTAGATTAGATATAAGAAAAAATTTTTTCACTCGGAGGGTGGTGAGGCACTGGAACAGGTTGCCCAGAGAAGTTGTGGGTGCCCCGTCCCTGGAAGTGTTCAAGGCCAGGTTGGATGAGGCTTTGGGCAACCTGGTGTAGTGGAAGGTGTTCCTGCCCATGGCAGGGGGGTTGGAACTAGATGATCTTTGAGGTCCCTTCCAAACCAAACCATTCTATGATTCTATAAGAGGATGTACACTCCTTTATTAGCTGTATCCAATGAAATTAACTCAAACCAACTTATTTAATCATTGTCCTTTTCCACCCTTTCCAGCTCCCGAGTGCTCACCAGAGGGACACCACATCCTCCGCAATCCCTACCGCAGCACCAGGTTTGACTCCCTGGAGCTGCAGCAAACGGCTCTTCAGGACCTGGTTTGTGACCACTCCTTGCCACCAGCATGGTACCGTTTCATGATCGACAGCAGGCCTGCCGAAATGCCAACGAGATGTGTCGAAGTCAGTAAAACTTAAGCACTAA